CCCCCCCCCCCCCTCACCGTGCCCCTCTCTCTCGCTCTCGCTCTCTCTCACCGTGGTTGACTTCCCCCTCCCCTCCCTCCGTGGGCTCGAGGTGAACCTTCCACTCCAGCGGCTTCTCGCTGACGATGCTGAAGAGGTCCGCGTAGATCGCTTCCAGGGCCTCGAGCTCCATCGACTGCTCCTCCTCGTGGTTGGCTATTTTTTTATGTGTGCGCGCGCGGGGGCGAGGTTTGTTTGTTAGCGGAGGAGGGAACTCCGGCAGGTGTTTTGCGGAGGTAGCAGCTAGCAGCCAGCAGCAGCAGTAGCAGCAGCAGCAGCAGCAGCAGCAGCAGCAGCAGCAGCAGCGATGGTAATAACACAGAACCAGAGTAGGGGGAGTCTATCTGGGCTTTGCAACTTCCCTGGTGACGGAATATCAGGCTTGATGGGACCTAACCTTGGTGTCACGCGCCACCCCACGGAGATTATTTTTTCATATGATAGCTCGCCCACCGCAAGAGGTGGAGAGACGGCACCAAAACAAGGTGGTTTTGGAACACCTCGTCGAGGGCTTTCCGAAGCCGTAGTTGGGCTTTTTCCACTCCCGTTGGTTGTGGGGGAATCGAGGTTTGGAAATTGGTCTAGGGTGTGAGTGTCATCTCTCCGCCTCTTACGGACTACCACGGTACGGTATACGGTAAGGTTCAGACAATCTTGGTTGTGGAGTAATCGAGCTTTGAAAATCGGTCTAGACGGTGAGTACCATCTCTCCGCCTCATACGGAATACCACGGCACGGAATACGGTACGGTATAGACAATCTTGGTTGTGGAGCAATCTAGCTTTGAAAATCGGTCTAGGATGTGCGTGCCATCTCTCCACTTCTTGCGCTGCAGACGTGGCTCCGATACAATAAGAGGGTACCATATAACCAGGGGGCTCCGATATCAGAGGGTAAAGTGGTAGTCACGGACTCGACCCTGTTATAGCATTATTGTTGAGTACTCTCGTCCATGCGGTACTTGCGGGAAAGCGCCCTCCCTGAGATGGCTCCTACGCCGCCCTATATGGCAACTGCCACGCTTTTTGCGCTGTGGAGAAATCGAGCTCTGAAAATCGGCACAAATGGTTGTGTAAGTCACCTATATGGCGGTATGGAAGTCACCCTATACACCCTCGTCGCACAGAGCTGCTACGGGGGCCAATCTTAATTTCGTCCTTGCCCGTTGTTTGCGCCAGCAGCAGCATGCACCGCGGCAGGCCGGCAGCGATGGTGAAACACTACCCTTTTTAGATCTCGAGTACATGCATAGGACGGCGAGGACAACAGAGTGTAAGCACTTATGCATGCAATGTGCGGGAGGACTGCGGTACATCCACCCCAGGTGCCCGTCGGTGCCATTAGGTTCATGATGCAACAGCAGCAGCATTTATAGCGCAACATGTACCTATAGACTCGGTCACAACGTCTCACTCACTTTCGAATCCACTCATGGTGGTAGCGTTCCAGGAGCCTGGGCGTCGTATTGCAATGAAGAGTAGTGGAACGGATAGCCTTCTCCCCCGCCCCGCCGGTGCCTAACAGCAGCTGTGGCAGCTCGTCGCAGTGTCCTATCCCGCAAGAAGGAAAGGGTGCGGCCAGTGTGTGGATTTGTTCTCCGTGCTCAGGAACACACAGAGATAGGCAGAGGAAAAGCGTTTCCGGTACAGAATCGGGTCAAGATGAGAATGTGGAGCGACGTTTTTGACACGACAACACTCAGCGCCTCCGTTCGGCACGTGTATCTAGTGCAGCAGCACAACCCACGGACACAACAGCACAGAAGCAGTCGTCGAAGACCCACCGCACACACCGCGCGTGCGTGTGGGGTACCCGTACATTCTCATCTGCGGTACCCCTTCGCAGCAACGCAACCAGCTCACAGCAGGGCATTTTGTTTGCTTGGGGAGGAAGCAGGCACCGCCGCTGTCTCAGAGAGAGGAGGATAAGGGAAGGAAGGGGGGCAAAAGCACCGCTGCTGTTAAGGTTGAGGTGAGAAGGCTGCTGCAGTAGCCCTTCTTTTTTTGGCTGCGTGTTGGGTCTATCGCAGCACGTGCTCGCAGGCAACAGCCTTGCAGGGCAGCTGGGTGTGCCCGAGGGCGCGCTCCCCACGCCACCGCCGTGGGTATACAGCACGAGCCAGCGGGCGTGGATTAGACCGGAGGATTTCCGCCAGTAAAGACACCCGTGCAATATTTGGAGGGGTGCTCATGAACAGGCATTCGAAAAGGGAGGTTGCATATCCTTGATCGTTGCTGCTGCTGTGTGATGCTGTGATCAGGGTTTGCGTTTTGTGTAAATAATAGCAGCAAGATGTGGCTGTTCTTGTAGATTGGCTTCTCGCCCGTTGTTGGCACGATCTGAACCAGCGAAAGCACACCTCGTGGTCATCGACGTTCCACGCTGCATCGCGGCACAGCAGTTAGGCAACGAGCGGAGCACAAGCAGCATGCGAACGCTCACAGCAGCAGGTATTTGCTTGTTGCTCGTATTGTGGAGAATTACGATAGGATCGATGCAGCTCGGCAGGGGGGGGGCCGGGGGGGGGGGGGTTCGATCTTGCACGGATGCTGCCACAGGCCAAAGCATGGTTTTCGCACAGCCTTGCACNNGGGGGGGGGGTGGTTCGATCTTGCACGGATGCTGCCACAGGCCAAAGCATGGTTTTCGCACAGCCTTGCACTGGCCTCCTTTGGTTGTCTCTCGCCCACCCTCTCTCGCGGCTGACGAACTAATTCGTTGATCTGATCTTGTCCGCGGTCTGCGCGAGTCCGCGAGAGCGAGGAGGGGGTATCGCAGATGGGATTCAGCTCGTATCCGACGTTGGGGCTTGTTTCCTTTGTGGAGTCATCAGCGGCATAGCTGTAGGACGGGAAAGGTCATGATGATAATACTCAAGGAGGGGGGGGGGGG